GGATTTATTTAACACTCACCTCTCCAGCCAAAGCAGCCCGGAACGGAGAGGCTGATCCCTACAGGAATCCCATCTCCCCCCACCGAGCTGGGCCCCCCCTCAAGCAGCTGTTTGGCAAAAGCAAGTGAGAATTGGAAATAAAACTGATTAGAGTTGGGACGTAACGACCCGCCGGGTCCGGCTGGCCCCGTCCCTCGGAGGAAGAGCACCGAGGCTGACGGAATTCCTTGCCAAGAAGGTGTAAAAGCACAGGCTGCACACCGAGGATGGCAGAGCCGGAGTAACCTTTAGCGTAATAAATCTGTCTCCTCATTATAAGAAATGAACTTTCCTACATGTTGTTTCCTGGCGTGGTACTTGGTTCAAGGCCATTTAGCCCAGAGACTGAATAGTTCCTTCCGAGTCCTCACCATCTGTTGGGTGAGCGGAGAGGGAAGCGTGCGACGCACAAACCCTCCTGCAAAGGCAGGGTTTTATTTTTGCCATTTTTTATATAAATTACCAGGTTCGCTCTTTATTGTTCTCTAGAACATTAAAATCAATTAGAACCCACTGCAAACGGTTTGCTCGCTTGATTTCTTGCGCTGTCTCGAAGCGGGATGATGGAAGGGGATGGGAGGCAAACAAAAGGCAGAGACCTTCCCTTCCGTGCTCTTTTCTGAGCGACGCGGATTGGTTTCCAAAACTTTGGATTCTCTCCCACAAACAGCCCACTGAGCCCACAGGCAGAGCTTCGAACACAGAGGATAATTTGTGACCTATCAAATGCCAAGGCGAGAGCAATCAGACCTCTCTCTTTAGGGGTATGCACTCATTATCTACAGATGTCAGGAGGAAATTCCCTCCTGTGCACTTGGCGAGATGAATTACGGGGAAGATGCGGTCACCTTCCTTTAAAAGAGCAAAATAAAGGTGGGAGCTTGGATACTTCTTCCCCATCAAGAGGGGAAAAAAACCCCACGACACCGGGAAAGACCAAAAAAAAAAAAAAAAAAAAAAAAAAAAAAAAAAAGGCACCAGCAAATGTATTTTAGGGCTCAGTTTTTCTACCAGGTGCTTGAATATCGTGGCCCCTTTCCCAACTGGGTTTTGTCTTCCCTTGTGAAACCTCAGCTCGGCCTTTGCCAGGGCGATGAAAGACGCGGCGAGCGCAGCGAAGTGACTTGGCGGGGGGAGAGAGAGAGAGAGAGAGAGAGAGAGAGAAGGTCGAGCAGAGCAATATAATAGTTTGGCATCCCAAAAAGGAGATTTACAAGGTATTACAAATAAAACAACCCAACTGTACATGAGGCAGCTGTAATTCCATCGAGGGAATCTGGCGGTTTTGTTTAAGGACCTGCTTAGTCACAAATCTCAATAATAAAAAAGGCAGCCGAGGAAGGGGAGGGGGGGGCACGGGGAGGGAGGTGTGAATTTCATTTTTATTATTCAGATGTGTGATGAATTCCTATTATTGGAGTAGACAGACTGTGAGGAATAATAATAGGAACTGTAAACTTCGGAAGTTAACAGGAAAAATCATGTTGCCTCTCTGCATTATACACCGAGCAAACACCTGTCTGCAAGGGCTGGGGGACAGCGAGGGTTTTCACGACCACATTACTCAAGCTCTGAGTCACTGTAATGAGTGAAAATAAACTGGCTGTGCCCCGAACAGCACAGATTTGTGCCTCACCGCCCAGAAAAGCGTTTCAGGGACCCAGGAGATGGGAGTCGGGAGGCAGTCGGGAAGGACAGTGCCTGCTCTCTCTGCTTTTGTTTTCTCCCCATTCCTTTTGTTTTCTCGTTCTTCCTTTTCTTATTTTGTTTTCCCCCTCTTCCTTTTATTTTGTCTTCTCCTTCCTTATTTTGTTTTCTCCCTCTTCCTTTTCTTATTTTCTCTCCTTTCCTTTTCTTATTTTGTTTTCCCCCTCTTCCTTTTATTTTGTGTTCTCTCCCTTCCTTATTTTGTTTTCTCTCCTTTCCTTTTCTTGTTTTGTTTTCTCCCGCTTTTGTTTTCTTCCCTTTCCTTTTCTTGTTTTTTTTCTCCCCCTTCCTTTTCTTCTCTCCTGCCTCTCGTCCCCTTAATCCAGGCAACGCTAGGGGACTCCAGCATCCACCCAAAGCCTCTGCACAAATACCACAGCGTGGAATTGTTATTGCAGAGATGACATAAGAATCCAGACATAATGTTTAGCTCCCGGGTTGATTATAATGAAACAGGCAGCGTTGGGGGGGAAAAAAAAAAAAAAAAGAAAGAAAGGAAAGAAAAAGAAGATAAAAAGAGGCCTTCTTACTTCCAAACCCGAGCCAATTTGAAGTGAATTGCAGAGAATGAGATATAGAGCCCCATGATGTCATTTATAGAGTCTGGCCTTTTCTGACTCTGGCTTCGCTTTCAGAGCAGCAATAGTTTTTAACTTCAAAGAGAATATCAAGTGCTTGGCACACTGCCTGGGAGCGGGTGGAGAGCTGCTGGCCCGCACCCCAGGGAGAGCGGAGACACGGATCTGTCAAACGTCCCACGGAGGGAGATGTGCTCCCTCCCTCCCTCGTGCCACGGTCACCCTCACTGCCTGCCTCCTAGACCTTATAAAACCAAGTTAAAGTGCCGGTTTTCAGGTCCAGCCTGGGTGGATCCTCCTCAACACGGGGGCTGCGGAGGCCCCATCAGCAGAGGGCACAGGACCAAGGTCTGTCCTGTCCTGCCAGGTGCAGGAGCTGGAAGGTGACGGAGCAGAGACCTTTGAGGTTGATCCGCTTAGAGCTAAGGGCAGTAAGGACCAGCAGAAGTCATCACTCACCGAGATAGCCCTGTGTCTTCTTCTGTAGTGCAGTGACGGGGCAGTCCTTGTGAGCCAGCAGGAGCTGTTTAAGTTGAGCAACTTCGTTCCTCAGTAGCGTAACTTCATTCTGAGATTGAAAAACAAACACGGCACGTCTGCATCACTCCCGCTCACGACAGCAGCCTCCAGCAAGGGCAGGACGTTAATTTATGTGCCCTGCAAACTTACAAATTGTTGGTTTAATTTGAGACGCCTCCGGCCTAAGAACACCAAACAAAGTTTCTGGGATTGGGGAATTTAATGTGAAGACGTGGAGGGCAGAGTTTCCCTCCAGCAGCCCCCACCGCTGGCTGGAAAGCCCCCTCGTTATATTAATCGTCTAATCCTGGCCATACTTTTGCCTGAGCCCTCCTGCTAATGCCAACTGCTTGAGTCAGACACTCCGGAGGGCTGTTGGCTCTGCTGGAAAACTAAACCGAGCGAGAAGCTGAGTGTACGACCAGCTCAGCCCGTGCCAGGCTTGGGGCGGGGGGGGGATCAGAGCTCCCCCCACCCCACCCCGAGCTTTCAGTGTCTCTGTGAGCTGCTGTGGTGAACCAGGTCTGGTCCCCTGGAAACTCTGTGCACACATTATTCCACTATTGAAATGTTTGGAGAAAACAGCTGAAACTCAGTCAATTGTCTTTCAAAATCGCCCGAGGAAATAGTTTCTATAATTATCTTGGGAAGAGATTAAAAATACCATGATCAGTGCTATTGAAAAAATCCACTGCATGAGTCACTGGCCACCAGTGAAAGAAAAAAGCCCAGAACGGACACGAGTTCAGTCTCTGCAGACCCTTCAAACCTCATCAGCCGGTGCTGAGAGCATTAACAAGGGGGCTCACGGCAGTGGAAGTGAAGTCTGTGTTTTCAGATGCGTTGCGCTGCTGGGAGGCACAGAGCCAGGGAGACCCAGTTCTCCAGGAAAAAAAATCCGTATGGCTGCGGGCTGCAGGTGCAGACCCTCCCTGCTCACTCCGAGCTCTGCCCCTGAGGCTGGTGTCGCTCCTTGAATTACAGAATCTCAGAATCATCCGGGTTGGAAAAGCCCCTGAAGCTCCTCCAGCCCCACCATGGCCCGGCCACGGATCGGGCTCTTTTCTCCATCTTGTGGTTGACAATCTGTCAACTGGCAGAGTCACCCCAGCACGCAGAGTCTCACTTTGAAAAGCACCTTGAAAGGTTGGCTTTCAGGTATCAGTTACATTAACACTAAACCTCCATGCTTGGTGGATCCCCTTGGCGCTTTCACTCTTCCAAATCCCCCCCTTCTCCCTCCTCCTCCTCCGCTCTCAGCAAAGGAAAACATAGCTCTTGGGAGGCTGTGACATTTAGTCGTGCTGTCAATGTATTTTATTTTTAACAGCATGCTGCTTCCAGGCATCTGCTCCCCCCTCTGCTCTCGCTACCTGAAACATTGCACCTTCGCACACGAAGCCTCCTTGAGCTCCGAGGTTAAAGGGATCGAGCTCCGTCTCGTCACACACTTAACTCCCAGCAACAGATTTTTTTGGATGCGATGGGAGTGTAATCGCTGTAAATGGGTTTGTGGGAGAGGGGGGGACGCGGGGCTGGGGGTAGGGGACACACACACACACACGTGTGTGTTCCTGGTGGCTTGGGCCGCGCCGTGGTTGCTGGAGAAAAGGGACCGACCGTGCCCACGGCGCCGGGGCTGCCTCCATCCTCCTCCCAGTAACTTGGTGCTGATCTGCCTCCGCTGGGACCGGCGCTGGGCGCCCCGGGAGGGCCACGAGAGGATGAGCTGCTGGCCCAGCAGGCGACAATAATGTGAGTCCCAGAATCCATCATCTGCTCCCAACTCCTCTGTACACCTCCGCAAACAAACCCCTCCATTTCCAAGGATCATCTCCTTTACACGTAACCTCGACGACCTTAATACTGGTGGCCTTAAATCACGAATTAGTTGCCTGTTCCAAGGGGAGGGAGCACGAAGTAGTGTTTCTGTTTGCCTG